AAAATTCTAGATTAGTAGTAAATAGTATATAGTAAATAGTTTAGTGATAGTAAACTCTAAATGAATATCTCTGGGAGAATAGCATATGGTGGAAAGACTTGTTTTCTGTTTATTTCTATGATGTTTCACTTTTACAATAATGTTTCACTTTTTAAAGCAAGGAAAAACCAGATATTTTACAATGGTGTTTGAAAAATTCTTGTTCTAGCTTTTCGTTTCTGTTGAAACAGGTGTGAGTCATCCTGTTCTCAAGCAAGTTGCAGAACGGTTTCTCAACATGAGGGGTGGGCTTGGTTTATCTGGTGCAAAGACCAGATACCGTGGAGGTAAGCATTTTTTGTTCTGTTAGGATTGATTTATCAGAAGGAAGTTTCCCCCTAGAACATGTTGAGGGAGGAATAGGCCTGATTATTTACTACCAAACAGTCTCATTTAGAATCACATGGCTTGGGTGTTGTATATTAAGCATATGTTTGATTGTGTGTGTGTGTGTTAGTCCCCAGAATGACATCGGGAAAGTACAGGGCCACAGAAAAGCTTAGTCTTGGTGGGTTAATACTGTGTTGTATGGAATACTGAAGAATGAAACCCGTGGTGAACAAGCCATTTTCTTCTTCACCCTATCCTTACATGGCCCCAGGTGAAATTCGAGAACAGAGTGGAGACAGTCTTGTCCATGCTGCTCTTGTAGCAGAAAGTGCTGCCATAGGAAGTACAGAAGCAAATGCATTTAGTGTTCTTCAGCATGTCCTCGGTGCTGGACCACATGTCAAGAGGGGCAGCAATGCTACCAGCCTTCTATACCAGGCTGTTGCCAAGGGAATTCATCAGCCATTTGATGTGAGTCTGAGTAGTTGGTATCTCTCCTTTTGTTTTCAAAGCCTCAGTATTTATGATGTAATTCTGATAATTCGCTCTTAATGTTAATCTGTTTTTAAAATTTAAGGCCAACACATAGACAATCTTTGTGCAATTAAAGAGACAGCCAAGTTTGATTTTAGTACCTTAGTGGGTCTATCAGAAACTTAGTGTCTTTTCATCCATTCTAATATATAATGGAAGAATTGAATGCTTAGAAAGAAATTTATACTTCAGTTCTCATTGGAATAAAGTTTCAGATATTAAACATTCCCCTATATTCTAACTGGTAAGTCTTTTTTTTTTTTTTAGATTTTTTCCGTCCCCTTCTGTTCCTGTGGCTACTTCCTGAATTTCACTCCTGTTTATATTTCCAACCAGGTGGACAAGATACACACCAAGAAATTGTTTACAGACTATATGTATATATATTAATATATGTGTATATTTAATTATCTTTGTTTTTTCAATTATTTTAAAAGATAGCCTCACTAATAATTTAAAAATTTTTAATTCATGAGATTGGCAGAAAATTAAAAGGTGGACACCACCCAAAATTAAGAAGGGTTTAGATAAGTAGGTACTCTCAAAAATTTCTGGTGGAAGTATAAACTAGTACAACATTTTTGGAGGTCTATTTGAATATATCTGTTAAAATTCAAAATGTTTATACTCTTAGACCCAGCAATTTTACTTTTAAGAATTTGTCCTACAGAAATACTTTATCAAGTTTACAAAATAGTTGCAGGAGAATATTGCTTGCAGTATTTTTTGTTTGTTTTGTAAATAACAGCTTTTCTGATTCAAGCAGCAGAGACAGAAAAAGAAAGGGAAAAAAAGAAAAAGGAAAATAACAGCTTGAGGTATAATTTACATGCCAGAAAATTCATCCTTTTGAAGTATACAGTTCTGTGGTTTTTAGTATATTTAGAGAGTTGTGCAACTATTACCACTGTCTAATTTCAGAATGTTTTCATCATCCCCAAAGAAAACCCATACCCATTAACGATCACTCCCCGTTCTCACCTTCCCCCTGCCTCTGGCATCCACTAATGTACTTTCTGTCTCTATAGATTTGACTATTCTGGACTTTTCATATAAATGGAGTCATACAATTGGCTACTTTTACTTAATGTAATATTTTCAAGGTCCACGGTCCATCCATTATTATAGTGTGTATCATTATTGCATTTCCTTTTGTGGCTGAAAAATATTCTGTTACCACATTCTCTTTGTCCATTCATTGACATTTGAGTTGTTTCCACCTTTTGTCTATTGTGGATATAAACATTTATGTGTAAGTTTTTCTTAGAACACCTGTTTTCAATTCTTTCGATTATATACCTAGGAGTAAAGTTGGCAGGACATATGGTAACTCTCTGTTTAATCATTTGAGGAACTACCAGACTGTTTTCCAAAGTAGGTGTACCATTTTACATTCCCACCAGCAATGCACAAAGGTTTTAATTTCTCCACCTTCTTACTCCACATTCAGCACTTGTCTGTCTTCCTGATCATGGCCATCCTAGTGGGTGTAAGGTGATCATTGTGATTTGATTTGCATTTTCCTAATGACAAATGACATTGAACATGTTTTCATGTGCTTTGGGGGCATTTGTATAACTTCTTGGGAGAAATGTCTGTTCAAATCCTTAGCCCATTTTTCAATTGGTTTGTTCGTTTATTGTTGAGTTGTGTGGGTTCTATATATACTTGGGATACTAAGCTCTTCTCAGATTTATGATCTGCAAATATTTTCTTCCATTTCATGGGTTGTCCTTTCACTCTCTTGACAGTGTCCTTTGGTGCACAATGCAATGTTGCTTTAATACCCAACTATTAGAAACATGCTAATGTCTATCAAGAAGAAATTGATTAAATAAATGATGGTACATCAGTAGAATGGGATTCTTTATAACCAATAAATATTTGATGTAGACTAATCACTTAGATGCAAATTACAAAAGACAAGTTAGAAACAATACCAATAAAATGATAACATTTTAAAAATAAAATCATATTAATAACTACACAAAA